TTAAATATAATACACTATTCATTGCCAAGAAAGAGTTATAATTTCTCGACCATATAATTAAAAAGAGAGAGAAAAAGAGAGAAGAGAGAGAAAAGAGAGAGAGAGAGAGAGAGAGAGAGAGAGAGAGAGAGAGAGAGAGAGAGAGAGAGAGGAAGAAATGAAAAGAGAGAGACAGAGGGAGAGAGACAAAGCAAATCCAAGTCGTCATTAAAAAAAGGAAAGTGCATAGTGCACTTCATCGGCGCCAATTTAGATTATGAGATGACCGAATAATCTGTCCTGCCATACGGCAAAAGCCTATGATAAACAAAAAATGAAAACGTCAATGTCCACCGGACGACTCATCCACCCGATCGGATGACCACCCACCAGTGCCGGTCCCGTGAACGTGGCCAGCACCGGTCACGTTCAGTCACGTGAACGTGACCGGCTGGTCACGGGGCCCGAATTCTTTGAACGACTGTTCACGAAGTTTCTGCCCACGTGGAGGCCGGGATGGTCGGGATCGGGGCGGGAGGGGGGTGGTGCGGGGGCCTTCTACACCCCGGGCCCATGAATTCCAAAAAAAAAAAAAGAATGGTGTGTGTGTGGGAAAAAAAAATAAAAAATGTTTGGGGGCTGGAGGTGGGTTGGGGTTGACGCAAACCCGCAGGGCCCTGGCAGCGAAGAGAAGAGGGAAAAAAAAAAAAAAAAAATTCTCTCTCTCTCTCTCTCTCTCTCTCTCTCTCTCTCTCTCTCTCTGTGTGTGTGAGACGGACCCCGTTGAGGTTGGTGCTTTATTGCACCACGAAATAACCTAAAAAAAAAAAAAATTCGAAATAACCTACAAAATACCAAACGAAAATGCTTATTTTAGCTGGTTGCATTTTATTTTTTTTTAATTAAAAAATATATTATTTGTGAAAAATAATTTGAAAAAAATAGAGGAAGTTACCCTCCGATGACATCCACCCTCCTATAACCTATGTTGCACGCCCGGCCGCGGCCGGGGGGTCCGAATCGGCCGCGGCCGATGGCCGATGGCCGAATCGGCTCAGTTCGGCCTAGGCCGACCAGCCGAGTTGCGTGCAGGATTTTTTTTTTTTTTTAACGCATGAAAAAAAAATAAAAAATATGGGTGTGTAGGGCTTAAAAAACCC